ACAAAACGTATAAAACTATTATTTTCATTAAATTCATGTTTTATTTTATACATATGCAAGTTTTCAACTAAAAAAAAGCACAAATAGTTATATTTTTATTAGATAAAAAAAGACAAACAATCATACCCGGAGTACTAAAACGAAAATTCTTGACGCTACCCGACGTAAAAAGCTTAATACGAGCACATGTGAAATTTCTCTACATAGTAACCGTTTGACGCAAAACATTTGTTATGTTGATTTAACCAGTCATAGAATGTGCAAAAAATGCTAAGGTTTCATTCGTAAAATAATAGTTAGCAATGTCTGTCTCATATCCTGCGATCATAAAGACGACTTTATTTACGGCAAAGTCATCACCTTACGAAATTCATTTTTTACAGCACTGCAATCTCAGAATGATGGTTTTCCTTCACGTATGTCATTATGTAAACTGTTCATTCCGTCCAAAAATATTATATGCCACCTAAATACTAGTGAATGACTTACTTTGCTATGTTTTCCGGATTGTTTACAGAACATATTGGTCTCTGTAGGTGTTTTTCCGATGTCTACGCAGAATTTTATCACTGTTCACTGCTCCACCTATTCCAAAAACGTACCTTTTTTGAACAATTCCGATCCTGTCTTAATATGTTCTAACTTTGATTGCTCAGCCATTTTGAAACTTTGAACGTTCAAATTTTGCAGGCTTGACGTGTAAACGTCTATCAACTCCTTAATGTAAATTTTCCAGATTTCCCCAGAATCTTATGAAATACAGATGAAATTTATAAATTGATAAAAAAATTTCTCAATCAAAATTTTGCGGTGCTCCGGGTCTCCATTCTTAGTCTAATTATGCAGCCATAATTGTAATTAAACATTTGAAATTAAATAAAATTTTTAATTTTTCAATTCAAATTTAGTAAAGGATAATAAATTTGCTAATAATAAATATGTATGACGCATTTTTTTTAAAAATATCAACTTGTCAGCGAATTTTACGGACAGACAACGTAAAACACTGCTTATTATACAATTTTTACCTACTCTAGGTAAATATGCATTTTTTTACTTAGATTTTCATATTTACATTAAATTCATGTAATGTTGGTAATTGTTAACTTAGATTACCATTTTTGATTTTGTCAATCGTCTACATTTTCATGTACATGTATGTTTAATTTTCATATACATGTATTTGAAAGAGTAGTTACGAGCTCTAAATAATGAATATCATCTATATGTTTAAACCCATTCGTTGTAATTATATTATAAGTTATTTCATTTAAGTGTGAAGGTTTGCATTATAACATGATCTTTTTCGACAGATGCATCCAGTGTAAACAATTCAGCCGCGGCTGCGTGATTGGTCAACTCATATTATCAACATTGACACGGCAATAGTCTGTTGCACGAGCAGCCAATCAGGAATTGTTCTAGAAATCAGAAACGTCTAGTCGTAAAGCTTACTGTTATGATGCGTGTGCCATTTAACATGAGCACAGCTGTCATCATAGGTTGTGACGTAATGCAAAACTTTACACATAATTGAAATTACTTATAAGCGTTCTCAAGCCCTCAACTTGGAATCAACGTCAAAATAGCTAAGTCTATAGGAGACTAAGCTTTTTTTAAGATTTAAAGCGAAGTCAATAGGAAATGCTCACCACATACATGTACACTAATTGCCGCTCCTGATCTAAGTCATATAAAAAATATTGCTACTTGCTACTGTTCCGTGTCCAAGCGATCGCTCCTTAAAAATTATTGTCAGGGGGTCATTTATGCAAAAATTAAAAATCCCGAGCTCACTGGTCATGTGTGCCGAGTAAAAGTCTAAAATGGCAGCTATTCATCACTGTATAATATATTTTCCTCCAGAGTGAAGGGATGTCAAAATATTTACTTCCTTAGTCAAACATTCCATTGCCTTATTCGAACGATAGTCGATAATTCAGATTTTTTTAAAATCTCATCGATAGCGTATTAATAAATCAAAAACTCTTTTCGTAAATTTATGTAAAAAGTTACATCAAATGCCTATATAGAGTATTATACACCTACATATACATATGACAATATTCAGAGGAACATGAAGAAGGAAGAATATGTTGAAATGAAATAGATTTACATCAGTAATCAATTCTCCAAAATGTTTAATTTCTTGTAAATCACATTCATAATTTGGTATGTACAATCTTTCCTTCTATTTTGTTTAGAGAATTGTCAGAACGGTATTTTAAAAGCTTATTAAACTGTTTAAAATAAATTGGAGAAGGGGGAAGTAAACATATAATATCCACACATCGGCTGATAATGTTAAACACTGCTTGTTCAATTACTAGTTAGCCCGGCTATCAAATTGTCCTTACTTTGTAAGAGTATGATTTGATAAGATGATGTTTTAATAATTATCAAAGTCTGAAAACTTCACGGATATGGTGTGTTACTACAGCATTCTTAGAGGTACATAAATTTATAATTGGTACAAGTCCATTTTATAATTTCCAAAGTCCATTATAGCGCTACATAAATTTACTATAATAACAAAAAGATCAGTAATTGAGACATAAGTATCGCGGTATGTTATTACAGTAACTGTACTTTCCATATATACAATGTGAAAATTTATTTATATACTGTGACTCTGTTGATGCTCTTATTCGTCTGAGGGCGGATACTATAATGGTTTGAGGAATGACGCTTTATCAATTTTTAGTTAAAAACCACCCCCTTTTCTAGCATTTATTTGATATTCGAATGTATTTTCATTATTCGATCGTCGGTTCATTCGACTGACAGTCAAATAGTCGACTATTTGTTGACATCCATAGTAGGAAGTAAACCTACAACCAGTTAACTATTGTCTTTTGGTATTCATAATGTAATTTTTTTTTTTTTGTTGAAGGTTTTTACATTTTTACATTTTATGAAATTGATACGCATTTTGTAAACTATCAAATTAATATAATGATATATCTATCAGTAAATTAAAGTAATTTTCCACAAACATTTTAAAAATGCGTCGGTGTCTGTTTCACATAAACTTTTTATTAACATTATGATGTGTAACATATGTATGTTGTGATTGTTAGTTTGTTAATATATTTTTTCTACCTCTGGTTGAAACGCACGAGTACAAAAACTACAAACAAAAGACAAATGTCAAAAATGTGTTTCATGTTATAATGCTTTTTTTAATCTTAGTTTATGATATCATACCCATTGATATTTGGCTCTACACAAAGTTATTGTAACCGAGCAGTAATAAGAACAGGTCACGTTTTAATCTTAACTAGTGCTAATTGTAACGGGGACCGTTACAGATGTTCCCCAAACGCTCCCCAACTCGCTTTTGGTGCCATATTCCCTGCAAGCTTCATTAAATAAGACAACCTCTATGCATCTGAGATTTTAACAACATTAACAAAGAAGTGTACAAAAATCATTTAAACTTTAGCATTGCACGCGTGCATATGTGAATGCATCATGACCATATCATCTTGTCTACACAATCTATATTTTTGATATACTGAATATTAAAGTATTTAATCCAAAATTATTTTTTAAAAAATACGCTCATTCAAGTGTATGTTTGATTTTACTCATTTCACGTGCACGCACGTGCATACATGAGCATGGTGACCATACCTTCTTGTAGAAGTCCATTACATCTATCTATGTTCTAAATTCCACCCCGTTTGGGTGAAAACTAAGGGAGTTATAGCTGTTTAAAGTTTCAGCCAATCAGATTGCAGCACATGTACACGCACGTGTATGCATGTGCATGATGACCATACCTACTTGTAGAAGTCCATTATATCTATCTATGTTCCAAATCCCATCCTGTTTGGTTGAAAACCAAGGGAGTTATAGCTGTTTAAAGTTTCAGCCAATCAGATTGCAGCGCACGTGCATGCACGTGTTTTCATGATAATTGCTTTATTTCATGTTGTAGGATATCCTAATGCATGGCTATGTTCAAAATTTCAAAGGATTTCGTCAAAAAACAAGAAAGATTTTGAGACTTTAGTTGCAGCCAATCAGAGCGAAGTGCACGTGCATGCGCGTGAGATCTTGCTATTTTCACCATGTCGTCATGTCTATACTACTAATATATCCTCACATAATGAGTTTCAAAGCATTTCATTCAAAAATAGAACAGTTGTGGCTATATCTATTATATTGGTCATTTCACGTGTTGCACGTGCACGCTCTTGCAAGCACGTGCGCGCAAAATGACCTTGATTCCGCAAATCTACATAACATGTCTACTAACCCTAAAAAGGTTTTACTTACATCGGACGAACAGTTTACAAGATCATTCCCGGACAAAAAAGTTCCAGGAAGAAGAAGAAAAATAATGATAATAATAATAATAATAATAATAAGAAACAGAGTAAAAACAATATGTTCCCCAACTTCGTTTGGGGAACATAATTAAACACCAATTAACAGCGATGGCATATCCTATAAAATAATATACATGATTATAACTTCAAATAGAATGAAAAATAACATAAGTTATGAAAAATTAACAAGTTATGAAAAAGAAAAGTATTTCAAAAAAAGTACCTTTACGGACAGCACGGCCTCGAGAAGACCTTGAAAAACTGGCTGGCGGGACAGGTAATTTCAATCGAACATGAGTATTTATACCTAGACCTACTGCGCAAGTGGATTGAGTTGATTTTAAAGATACGCTAGTCAGGAATGAGATTACAAAGAGTGTTCGACAAAAGCCTTTTACAAAATGTTAGAATCATACTCACTTAATTCAATAATCGAACAAGAAATAAGTTAACAAAAGTGAGTACGGTATTAGCCTAAATAAATATATGAATTAAAATATGTAATTACTTGGTCACATTATATAGAGCACAGCTTGTAGCCCAGAAACATACTTATATATATAAATATATATATATATATATATATATATATATATATATATATATATATATATATATATATATATATATTTAAATATTGTGTTTTTTAATTGCCGAAAGGTTGTGCTGGTGAAAGGCTTTTAAATATGAGTGGGCTTGAAGAAGAAGATACTAAGACTGATTCAGAGATGAAATGGAGGGGCTTCAAGGAAGAGGTACTGGTAAAAATTATGGATTTTAAAAATTGCTCACCTTTCTGTATTTTTTAAAATATTTATTTCCAAATTTTACATAAAAATAAATGGTGAAAAGTATTTCTTCAAATAATCTTTTGTCTGTTTGTTAATTAAAAGATTCAAATATACTTTTGTTTAGAAAAAGAAAGCTCGGGGTTTTAGAGGGTACTCGTCTATTTCAAGCGAGTATGCATCATCTCAATCAGATTTAGGTCATTTAAGTGAACAGGATAGAGAAAAGGACGAACAAGGTAAACAAAAAAATAATAAATTGCGCATATAGTTAAATATAATGTACAAACGTTTTTTTATCTCTACATATTATTTCTAATTTTAATCGTCACGTGAAAAACAACCGAAGTGAGGACAGCATGAACAAAATGAATTTTGTAGCTCTACATTCAAATTTTAATCGCAAAAAAACAGCTGACTAAACACAAAAGAGACCTTTTTTATATATGTGAAATAAATGAATCTTTATTCATCAGCACAAATGCTGTTTATAGAGAACAATACATACCCTTTTACATATTTCATCCTGTATAAGCCCGAGGCACCAATATCAGCCAAAGGGCCGAAGGTCCGAGGGCTGATATTGACCAAAGACTAATACATGATGCCAATGTGGAAAACGGAATGTTTTATTACATACTTAGTAAAAATACATGAAACATTAAGTCGAGAAGAAAATAAGCAAATAATCGAGTTCATGTACAGAATTCTGTCATGTACACGGTATAATGTCTAATACAGATTTTTTCTACTTCTATTTCAAATGAGCTCGATTCGTAATTTGAAAATCTATGTGTATTATCCTTAGATTCAAAAACTTCAAATTAAGAGAAAATGTACCAATCCCCCTCCCCCCCCCCCAAAAAAAATGTATGATCACAATATATTTCCTAAGACTATTTTAAGTTTTATTTCATTTGGGCATCCCTAAAATAACTTCGGTTTTATTATACTTTGATTAAGGTAGAAAACAATAAGTCCTGTAGAGTAAAAAAGCAAATGTGATAAAGCTCTTTCTGACGAAAAAGTGAATAGTGTGCAACACTCTAAAGAAATGAGACAGAAAAAAATGTAGTTAACTTTCGTGAAGGTGACCTACAGAGGTATGACGTGTAAATTGTATTGCATAGTGTTGAATTTGCTGTCAGTCTATGTATGTTTATCCATTTTGATGACAAAAAATATCTAAAGAAGTAATATTGTATTGTTCTTCCAGATAATATGATAAACGTAGATGAAAAGAGGTCAAGACAAAGAAACACAGAGAGGTATTGGGCGATTCGTCGTACTCCAGTTGAAAATTTTATAGAAACTAATATAGCCAAGTCTGTCCAAAACCTTTTGAAAGCTGGTAATCTAATTGCAATTACTGGATTTCCTGGATCAGGTAAAAGTATAACGGTACAAAAATGCGTAGAACATTTAGCAGAGGAGATGAACATACCTGTTAGGTACATCCACACTCGAAAAGAAATGCATTATATTTATTCTGAGGATAAAAATTTTTTGATTGTGATAGATGGTCCATTTGACACGATTTCGTACGATCAAAATTTCACCAGTTTTCTTTCTGGCGTGCGAAAGTGTGTGGTACGATGTAAACGACTGCGATTAAAAAAAATCGTTATAGTTATACAAAAAGAAGTTTTAAATTTCATGAAGTTGCAATTTGAAGACCATTCTTGGAAAAATGAGTTCTTAACATTAGATTTTTCTAATATGGGTCTATCTCGGGATGAAGAGAGAAGAATATTGATGGAAAAAATTGGAAACAATACAGCAGAAATAGAGGATATTGTTTCAATCGATTCAGTTATTTATGGTTTTCCTGAATGTTGCCGAAGACTAAGTTTGCATGAAAGAGAAACAAAGGAAGAATTTTTAAAAATATCAATTGGAATGCTTAAGGATCATTTTAATAAAATGGATAGCTTAGTGTTATATCCACTTGCTTTAATCGTTTTGGAAAATGGGGTGATAGAATTTAAGGATATTCAGCACATAGCACAAAATGAAGGACGCTTAACACATATTTTTGAACTTCTTACTAAAAGCAACAGACCAGTTTATTGTTCTTATTCTCAGTTAACAAACATAGTCAAAGCTTTAAGTGATGTTTACATAAAATATGACCAGTCAAGTTTTCAATTTGAATGTAGTGATAAGCTAGTGAGTGAGGCTGTTCACAAATTACTCTTTACAAGAAATCCTTGGAGATATATTGAGATATGTCCCGTCTCTAGATTGCAGCACCTCTCGAATGACAATGATTACCTTGGATGTATTAGCGGTCCGCTGTACATGTGGCTGTGCAAACGAATAGCAGCTGAGCTCCAAAACAATCATAACGACATGTTTTTCCTCATTCTATGGAAACTTCAGATTTGGAATGACGTGTGCTTTGTTAGTCATATCATGCCTGTTCTCAGTGAAATGTTTGAAACACCAAATCTTGCGGTTGTTGAAAGGTTTATGGCCCTGTCACAAACGATAAAGAATGCATATCTTGTTTCTGCTTTGTTGCACAATATACCGTACATGAAAATCAATAAAAAATGTGAACTTGTTTATACACCTTCAAGTAAAAATGGCATATTCGCAGATGAAAAAATACATTCGTGTACATGTAGCGTCTGTTTACTGAAAGAAAAAACTAACAAAAAGTTAATTAAAGCAATGAACTTGGACAACAGCTTCAATTTCCTAAGTACTTGTATTCGACAAGCAACAAATTGTTATAGAAATTCAATCGTTTTAGCAATGGACGTTTTAACATTTTCCCAAGAAAAAAATATATTAAACACTATTTTTGATGAAAACAACAAATGTTCACAAATATGCATAAAACCCAACAGCAACATGAGTCTTGTTCCAAGTTTATCAAAGGAAAATCTTTCCTGCAGTTTATTTTGTTGGAGTCTCTTACCGAATATCAACCTTCAGTTACAGAATATATTAATCGAACTTTGCGAGAAGACAAAGTCTGATTGGTATATGAAAGTGGCATTTCAATTTGCAACAGAAATATGGATAAGATCTGTTTGTGCAAAACTTCCATATCCACCAGAAAACTTTTCGTCAAAATTGTTTAAAAAAGAACTCGAAAAAATATGTAAGGAAAAGTTATCCTCATTATGTCAATTAAGATGTATATATCTTGGCCGTCAATCAAATCAACCATTAGATTGTATAAGTCATATTTTGGCTACTGTTCTAGATAGAAATGCAAGCGCATCCATTACCACAAATGGCTTTTTTGGACTTTCAGTTATAATTCGTGAAACAAATGAGGTCAATAAAGAAGCAGAAAATCTTTTGGTTCACGAAGAAATGATACATTATCAAACAGCAAAACTAAGTGGCAATAGAATCGAAGAACTTTTTCGTTCCCACAGTAATCTGACATTAGTAAATTATTCCAATGTTAAATCTAAAGGATTTGGAACAACGCAAGCAAGAGTAGAACAATTATCATGTGTAGTTCTTTATTGTCACGTGAAAGGTTTCATTCCTTTTGGGGAGTCATCGTTTCCTAGAACAATTGATGGATTTACAGTAGATGTTCGTGAATGTTTATGTACATTTGCTATAAATTCAATGCGCATTGGAGACCGTATTGGCAGTGCAGAATTATCTAAATCAGGCACATTAGGTTGTTTTATTGAGCTTTCTGACTCAACAGCATTCATAACCTGTGCCCATGTACTGTATTCATCCAAAACATTAAGAGAACATAATTTCAAAAAAGCGTCTGAGAAGATAGAAATCCAAGTTATAGACAGAAGACAACATGGTGAAAGCCAAATAGTAGGACTTGTGAAAACAGCCGCTTTTGATTACGGTGACCCTAGAATGACAAGTGTTGATGCCGCCCTGATAGAAATGACGGGGGTACATCCTATCGATGAAAAATTTTCTGAAGTTTATTCAGCAGATCAAGTAGAACATGCAGGTATTTATTACAACCTTTATTTTTTGTCAATTTATTATTCTCAATCTACTGTGCTTTTTTTAAAATATGCTTTGATGGTTGCTCTATGTTTTACTTAATTGTAGGATTTTCCAGTAGAACAAACCTGTGTTTTCCATATGGTGAGGTGGAGAAGGTATCAAGAGCCAATTTTCGGAGCGACATCATAAAAGTTGGTGCAGAAAGTGGTCTCACTATTGGGCGCCTTCGAAAAGGAAATTCAGCAGCTAGGGTTCGAAATAATATTGAAGTGACTATAGATTCCTCAAGTGATTTCACTCCAGTTTTTTACAACCAGTTTGAAGTCCTGCCTCAGATATTACCGTCAGTTATATCAGAAGCACATACCCCCTTTTTAATAAATGGTGACTCCGGAGCATTAATTTTTGTCGTGAAAAGTGATAATCCTCTGATTTTAAAAGCTATTGGCATGGCTGTTGCTGTTACCTCGTATGACTCTTGTTTAATGACCCCTATTCATAATGTGCTAAATTCTCTTAATATTTCAACCGATAAAGTTTTTAAATTTGAGTCGAGAGCGGAAGCAAATTCCCAAGGTATAACTATAAAAGATTTAGAGAAGGTTCTTCAAAATGTACAAGTTGGCATCATGAGGGAAGTCGGAGAATTCAAAGAAGATTTAAAAAGTGATATAGCCGTGTCAAATACAACTTTGACGAACAGACTAGACAGCGTTGATAAAGAACTACACAAATTTAATGACAGGTTATCTAAAATAGAGGAAAATGAAAAGAAGACTAAATGAAAAGAAAGAAAAAAGAGATGAAACTTGAAATCATGAACGTATAAAATTTTTTTTGTTTAAAATCAATACTGATGGAAAAGACTTATGTTAGAGATCAAAAGATTTATGGCAATAAAAAGAAATCTATTGATTTTATGGATAAATTTTGAATATGAACCAACAAATCAAATTCTATTTTAATGTTTTCAATCTCTCTGAAGCATTCTTAGGATAATTATCCCTCATTTTAGTTTGATAGCGTTAACAACAGGCATTTAATAAACCTAAATAAGTATGCATTTTATCATACTGAAAATCTTTCTGAAGAACAGTCCGCATACGTATTTCATTACATCATTCTATTTTTTTTCTTTTTTTTCTACAATTTTCTTAAATTCGTCATATTTTCGCTTTAAGGTACAAATCATATATGTACATGTAATTAATAATTATAATCAAAGATACTTATCATATTATTCCAGATGTACTGTGAACAGGTTCTCAATTTAGATATAAAACCAACAGTTTGTTTGAAAAATGAATATGAAGATTTATAAGAGATATATTGAAATAATTTCCTCTGGAAAAAGCCCATGAATCAAAAATTAGACAAATTATATTCGAATATATGTATTAACATATAAATAAGATACGAGATTTTATCTTTACAAAAAAGAAAAAAAAAATATACAATGTGTATCTTTTACACAACATGCACCGAAGTAACTATACGACATACCGGTCCGCTTTTCTAAGGAAAGCCCCCCCCTCCCCCTTTCCATAATGTACCAAAAAGGTATTCCTTGTAGTTATATAATAAAAAAAACAATTAACAATATAGAAAATGTATACCAGAATATTGATTTTTATTGTAGCGAAAACCATTGATGTACCTGTGCATAGCATACGATGTAGTCTAGGAAGGGGTGTAGATCTTACAGGTTAAAACTACTTAGAATTAAGCTATATTCGACATTAAAAAAATCAATCTGAATAGAGTTGTAACGGAAAGTGTTTTTGAAAGGAACATGGAATAATCTATACTACCTGAGAATGCTTCCATAATAATATTAAAAATTACTTTAGAAAAGGATTTTTCTAAAATTATACATATTACTTTGTAATTCTTTTGATCATTCATTTTGTCATAGTTTTTAACACGAGGGCTTACAGGAATCTTTACAATACTGAAGGATGTATCAATATAAAAAGACCAAGCATGGCTTAGCAGCAGATCTATACCTCTCTGCTTCAGAAAATTCAAAATGTTAAAGCAGATGATCTAAGGGTAGTAAATACGTTCGATCAACACAACTTTTTTGTCGCTCAATGTGGGTATTATTTCTTGAATGTTTAGCTTTCCCCAGCTTTAAGAAGGATATCAAATAATTTGGCATGTATTCCAGATCCATTTTAGATACTTTTCAATTAAATGGTCCAAAAAGGTCCTTTTTTTTTATAATTTCAGTTGAAAAAAAAAATAATGTCCAACATCAATCATGAGGATCGTGCATTAAAATATCTTTCAAAGAACATAGGCCTGAGAAAAAAAGGAGTAAATTATATATAGTTTATTATCAGATATTTCTAAATCGAAGAAAAGATACAAGAAATGATACCCGATGTGAGCGACGCCCACAACCCAGAAAAAAAACCCGTTGGATTCATAAAATGTTTACAACGCTTTGATCTATAGCTCCCTGTCTTGCATCTATTTCTCTGAATTTTCTCAAGAAGAGAGCAATAGCTCTACTGTTACTAGTATACATGAATTTTTCATGTATATTCCTATTTTAAAAGAGAATGCATTTTCCATCATATGGTTTTTTGATTGGTTCCGTGGGCTAGTTGTCTCGATTTGAACAAGCCTGAATCTACACTTACTGAGGATGTTTCCGCAATTCTATTTTATTTACCTGTCTTAGTGATTCTAGAGAAAAAATACTTTAATGACTACATTATTTTTTATTACAGCATATATATATATATATATATATATATATATATATATATATATATATATATATATATATATATATATATATATGACTGCCGTCATGAGAAAAGGGCCCTTATCTTTTGACGTCACAATGCTCAGAAAACGACGTCCAAGTCGCGTATTGTAAACTCGGAAGTAATTTTTGTTGACTGCATTTTGTAAACAAGAAATGAAATAGAATTTCAAAGCGTAACAAAAATTTGAAACTTGTTGCGGACATTTTTTAATAGGTATGTGATATATTTACAATTTAGTACGTAAATTTATTCATAATTTTGTTTAAGTATTTAACTTGATGTAGATATACGGGGCATTGGGCATGCACGTTGCTAGCTATGGAACAGCGATCAAGACGATGTCTATGCATGACTATATTAAAGATGCTGCATGTTTGTTTTCTGAGCAATTTACAAACGCTTAATTGAATTTTGAATTCATGTTAAGAAGTCTTAATATAAAAAGTTATATTCCATATACGTGTATATTTCTCAGTGAGAGAGAGAGTTCTATGCATATATAGTAATTAACAGTAATAGAATATGCTAAGGAAAAAAAAAATAAGGGTGATGGGGATGCCACGAAAATTTTGATAAAATAAATAAATTTCAAAAACTAATTTAAAATGATTAATTGGAATTGTATGGTAGAAATTACTAGGCCTATTGTTTCAAATTCTGAAATTGTTCCGGTGAAATGAATTAATGAAATCCCACTGGAACCTATTTTGCAATATGTTAAGAAATTAAATACAGCTATTTTAGACTTTTCCCAAAAGCATTATACCCAATGTTGAAGAAATTAATAATATTACATCGACAGTGAAATTATGAATGACGATATTTATAAACCAAAAGGGGGAAAAACTATAGCTAAGCAAAAAGACGTACGAATTTCTGGATAACATCAAACACTGAAAAAGCAAAAAAATCTGTGACAAATTGTTATGGGTGTAATTTCCAAAAAATATGAAAATCTTTAAAAACTTTAATGAGTGTGAAATATATATCACTGACTATTCATGATATGAAATAAATAAGTCATATTTTGCGTTGAAATCTTCAACTCTGATATATGTATCAAAATACCCTGCATATCTCGACATTAATTTCTTAAAGTTCCGAGATAAGACTTTATATCATAATCCTAACATGACTCTACGAAGAGTAATTAATAAACAAACACAATTTTTTGTTCTTTTAAATAAAATATTGGCCATTACTGTCACACGCAAGTAGCAACGGAGGTTGGGGTGTGCATTGAAAGTCCGCCCCCCCCCCCCCCCAACCTCCACACACACACACACACCCTTACACACTTTTTGTTGTATCATGGTCAAATTTGTGCTCTATAGGGCAAAAGAATAAGGCATTAAGTATTTAACTTGATGTAGATATACGGGGCATTGGGCATGCACGTTGCTAGCTATGGAACAGCGATCAAGACGATGTCTATGCATGACTATATTAAAGATGCTGCATGTTTGTTTTCTGAGCAATTTACAAACGCTTAATTGAATTTTGAATTCATGTTAAGAAGTCTTAATATAAAAAGTTATATTCCATATACGTGTATATTTCTCAGTGAGAGAGAGAGTTCTATGCATATATAGTAATTAACAGTAATAGAATATGCTAAGGAAAAAAAAAATAAGGGTGATGGGGATGCCACGAAAATTTTGATAAAATAAATAAATTTCAAAAACTAATTTAAAATGATTAATTGGAATTGTATGGTAGAAATTACTAGGCCTATTGTTTCAAATTCTGAAATTTTTCCGGTGAAATGAATTAATGAAATCCCACTGGAACCTATTTTGCAATATGTTAAGAAATTAAATACAGCTATTTTAGACTTTTCCCAAAAGCATTATACCCAATGTTGAAGAAATTAATAATATTACATCGACAGTGAAATTATGAATGACGATATTTATAAACCAAAAGGGGGAAAAACTATAGCTAAGCAAAAAGACGTACGAATTTCTGGATAACATCAAACACTGAAAAAGCAAAAAAATCTGTGACAAATTGTTATGGGTGTAATTTCCAAAAGTTATGAAAATCTTTAAAAACTTTAATGAGTGTGAAATATATATCACTGACTATTCATGATATGAAATAAATAAGTCATATTTTGCGTTGAAATCTTCAACTCTGATATATGTATCAAAATACCCTGCATATCTCGACATCAATTTCTTAAAGTTCCGAGATAAGACTTTATATCATAATCCTAACATGACTCTACGAAGAGTAATTAATAAACAAACACAATTTTTTGTTCTTTTAAATAAAATATTGGCCATTACTGTCACACGCAAGTAGCAACGGAGGTTGGGGTGTGCATTGAAAGTCCGCCCCCCCCCCCAACCTCCACACACACACACACACCCTTACACACTTTTTGTTGTATCATGGTCAAATTTGTGCTCTATAGGGCAAAAGAATAAGGCACTGTATAATGCTTGATTTCAAAAGAAAATTTGAAACTGAAAGAAGATTGAACCTTACCCCTCCCCTCCCAAACGGCGAAACTGGATTCGAGTTTCGACACACACACACCCTGTTTTTGGTTGAGTAGGTTTTTTTTAAGGTAGATTTATTTTTTTTCCTAACTGAACCCCCCCCCCCCCTCCTCCTTTTCAAACGAATTGTGTGGGGACAGGCGAAGGTACGAGTCAAATTGTTTTTTTTTATTTTGATATGTTCTGAAGTAATAAATAGGGAAATGGCTTGCCTAAATATAGCTGCAGATCTGTAGCTCTCCGAAAAAATAAATTGATAGAACGGAGAGCTACAGTGCCATCCATTGAAAAACCTGTAAATTTATTGCGCACAAAAAAGTGCGCTCGCTTCTCGATTTAATTCTCCATGTTCTTAAAACTGTTACATCAAAATATTACTAACCGTGTGTTCCTAACATATTCTTTCGCTGTTTCCACAACCAAACATTCTTCAAAATTGTTGTTAATAGTCCTCCTGACCCTGATATTGTAATCATCGAACATTTCGCTTGTTTCTAC